AAACAAACGCACACACTTTCAAATTAATTTTGAATCTAATCCTCCACCATAAACGTGACAACCCTAATGAGTGTTGTTGAGAAAGTTGTGCAACACAAACAAGCAGGTTTGAATATTAATCGTCATAATTATAAAAAAACGTGCGTCTGTTTGTTTAGGAGATTACCGAGAAACTGGGTTATGATAAACTGACACACATGGGGTTTAAGAGAGATTTCGCAACTAATATACACTAATAATCACTCCCACATTTTGCCCACTGTAAATTTAATCATACCATGGGAGTCATGCTTCAACACATATAAGCCAGCTCTATCGGAATGATCCCACGGCCTCACAGAAAACCAGTGTTAGGAATCGATGTTTTACCGTAACGTGTGGGTGGTATTAGCGTAGGAACAACTCTTGGTCCTAATTCTGGAGTATTATTAAAAGGATGTACACAGCTTACCTGTTTGCTCGTTTGCCGTAAGCATTTCTTTCGGTACTTTTCACCTACTGAAGTAAAATTAGCAGAACACCCCCCTTTCCGTTGGGGGGGAGTTGGACCTAAGGTTACTTATATCTTTAAGGTGTATGTGTCCATTGGCGACGCTAATCACATGCTATCAGGTCAGGTCAGGGATGGCATAAAAACACAATAACCTATGATAAATCATATGATTTATTATATGTCTTATAACACCTGTGACGACATTACTTAACCATTACTAATAAAAAGCTAGCTACTAATAAAAATAAGTATTTTTAGTAGCTAAGTCTCAACCTAAAAAAAGGTCTACAAAATAAAAAGAATTTTGATTGATTTTGATGAAATTTATCTTTGTTTATGACCAAATCACAATCACGCGTGAAATCGCTGTGACTAAAACCAATAATTTAATCAAATCAATTAATATTATGTTTAAAAGTAACAATAATTGCCATTTCTAGTCTGCTGGTTTGGGTCCTATATCAAAAAACAACTTAAGTAATCCTGAGCGAAGTAATGACCGTCAACAGAGCACTTTATAGGTGAATTGAAAGTATGTCAAGACAAGGTTCATAAGAAGAGAATAACCTTATCCGTGACGGATTAAGAATACAGAGTGTCACCACCCCTATTCATCCCGTGGATGTCGTAAGAGGCAACTAAGGGAGCACATTACGCAGAACAACAGCATTGCAAAGAGAAGGAAAACTTGACACAAACCCTATACCAACCCGTCTGGCCAGCGTGGTATAGTAGGCCAAAACCTCCTTTCTAAGGAGAGGCCTATGTCCAGCAGTGGACTGTTAAGGCCTGTTGTTGATGAACCTTTTGCGTTCAAATTGTCAAAAGCGCATTGATAGTAAAAAACCTACAAGACATTAAAACTAAGATAAAAATCTTTTAACTATTTTTATTACAGCCTTAGATGGGTAAAATAAAAATTTTAACTACTTTTAAGTTATCTTAATTTTTAATCAGAGAAATTTAAATAGTTTCTCTCTCATGCGGAGTAATATCAGTAGAAATTTAAAAACTAATGATAAAACAAGTCAACTATAAAATAAAAGGAAAGTTAGTTATTTTGCCATCTTAGACACGGACTACATAATAACTACATCTACAAGATTGATAAAGTTAAAGAACTGTGTTTTGAAGCTAATCTCTTCAACTACTAGTCGGATTTGAAAAAGCTTTCAACAATTGATAGCCTAATTATTCTGAGAGGTATCAAGCTATAAAGGGTGTAGGGGACGTCGTAACGAATACTGAAATAGTGTATTCAGACCATCATTCTGAGTCTAAAATCATGTTATTGACCGTAGATATTGCACAAAAGTAATAACTATATTTGTATTCCGTGCAAACGGTCTATGCACACTAACAGAAGATGGCGGCCGGGGGGGACAACCGACGCTTTGGCTGTTAGATTAATTACATTACAGTTTATGTCATTACGTGGCATTTATTGTTTGTGATTGTGATATCATTTTTAAATAAAATAAAATATGGAAAATTTAAAAAAATGATGAATTTTCGGGCAGAAAATTCCAATGATTTTCGACTCAGATGGTACACTGCTATGGTTACGGCTATTACGAGCGGAGCAGTGTGAATGAATAAAAGATATTTGTTTGTAAGACTCGTGATGGCGTATTTATTGTGAGCATTAGTAATGAATACTCGATGCCGGATAAGGTATTAAGGTCAATGCTTCATTGCGGCTTGGAGGCATTCGGGTCACAGTGAAAGTGAACTCAGACACCTTGCCTACGGGTAAGGTCGTCTGCACAGTTATCAGAGTAGCAAATGTATTGTATTCTTCGTAGATAAACAAGTCGAAAGAAGTATTGCATTCAGGAGTTTGTTGATGTGTGTACCAGAGAGGGTTAGGAGGTTAGGAATTGGCGGGTCTGATGGTCTAGTGATCCTGACTGCATAGTCAAAGGTCGTAAGTTCGATACCCATCCAGGAGAATAGATTGTGTGGTGAGAATGATCATTTCTTCTGTGTCTGGGTGTAATTTATTTATTTATTATTTATTTATTTATTTAAAAAAGACAACTCCCGCACTAGGAATAAACCCTGCGTCGCGGGGGACTTTACAAACATACATGAAACGGACACAAAGTACACCCAGACTCAGAACAACAATTTGTGGATCACACAAAGTGTTATCCCATGTGGGGTTTGAACCCACAACACTCGGCGCAATAGAAAGCGGCGTGGCGACCGCTTAAAACACTACGCCATCCGTGCAGTCAAACTATTATAACTATTATACTGTTATAACTAGTTTTTATTTATAACGCCTACGTGTGTGTCGATTACCGTGGTTAAAAGTAGCATGTGTTACTAGCTGATAATGTGGCTTTCCATTTTAATATCGGTTCAGTGGTTTAAGCGTGAAAGCGTAGCAAACAAACGAACAAAATCACTTTTAGGTTTTTTTTTTTTTAATAAGGGATTTTTATCCACAAGGATACGCCATCCCATCGTACCTTATCATACACAACACAACATACACTTTTACAAGTATGGAAATGTATGTGCTTAAAAATATATATTTATCAGCAGTCTATTAGTACAAGCTCGGCCCCTTTTTTTTTTTTTTCCGTGCGGAAATCCCCTCGGATACCACCTATCGGTGGCATGTCGGACTCGAACCGACTAAAACCGCACGCCGTCTCGGGTACTAATAGCCGGGGAACCAGGTATACCCTAGAAAGGAAGTCCCTGGTACCCCGACATACCCCGGGTCATCTACAGACGAGTAGACGACCCCCCCCCCCCGTGTGGGAACCCCATGTTCCCGGTGCTCCCTGGAAGCGAGCGCGCTTCGCAACGCGCTTGCCGCCACCCCGGCCTGCTTCTGCTAGGGTGACAGATGGCCTCACCTGTCACCCCCAGGCCTGCGCTTATGGAGGACGGAGGTCGTTCTGTGACCTCCGGCGCCTGCGGTACCTGGCCCGTTCCCGGGCCTGGCGGGCCGGGAGAGTCCTAAACCTCTCCCGGTCCCGCTCCGCCGTCTCACAAGCTCTGCCCCTAGTTTGAGATCAGACTGCCGTGTGTGAGATGTGTGAGGTTTTATTATTATTAATCTCGGGAGATTGTTGATGTGTGTACTAGGAAGATATAAGTTTAGTAGAGGTGGAAAAAGTAGTCATGTTGACGAATGATAAGGGATTTGAAATCGAGTAACCCACACTCACTCTCAGTACAGATAGACAGACAAACGGATGAAAATGATATTATTCTATAAGTAATAATTTTTCCTTTTGAGGGACGGAATCTTGGAGTCGTGTGTGAGATGAGTCAGGTTATTTTTATTATTGTTTTCACTATATTGTAATTCCTCATCTAATTTGCTTCTTGGACTCTTTCCTAAGGGAGGTATTCCTCATGATTTGATTACGCACCATGTGGCTTCCAGTAGACTTTCACTTGTCCACCAACCTTTTGGAGAACCGGCCCGGATGGCTCCAAATTTAATGTTAAAAGAAACTGGTCACTGGACAATCAGATAGACACATTCTACACCAATTCGCTTTCATTTTGATATTGCGTGCGTCAATTGTAACCATGATTTAATGGATTACACATACTTGGGTACGCTTGGAAGAACAAGCCCTTGGTTAGTCGTAGGTACACATGCAACTTCTATGAACTCTGCCATATCTATACAAATAAATAGAATTGAAGTGTCTGTTTGTAATGTCAAAATAATAAGTTTTTTCATGCTCACACGGTTATTTGCACGATAGCTACGCCTAAAAACCAGTTTAAATATGTGTTTTTGTAAGTCTGTCTGTTTGTTCTGGGTAATCTTTAAAACGGTTAAACCGATTTTGATAATATTTCACTACCAGGTAGCTGTATATATAAGGAGTAACTTAGGCAACTTTTTTCTCTCAGAAAAACCATATTCAGTTTTGCCCGGTCCGGGAATCGAACCCATTGAGGCAGTGCTTCTCAAATTCCACGCGGATAAGTCGCGGGCACCACCTAGTCTGTGCATATAAAAATTGCTTGCCCTGACTGAGTAATTCATCAACACAGACCCTAAACCGCTGGGGCTAACAAATTTGTCATTTTTGACAGATGATGCTTTTAATGTTGTAAGCACCCACTAAGAAGAGATTTAAAAAAATTTATCCCCTAAGGGGGTAAAATAATTTCTTCCTGGGACTTCCCGAGTGTCAAAACCCGGTGTGTTCGTGGGTCACTGCTGTGGATCCTGGTGTACAGGAGTTACAGTGCTGGGCGTGTGGGTGGGATTAGCCACTTAAAAAAGAAAGGGGGTAAAATAAGGGATGAACAGTTGTATGGAAGTTCGTACAGAATAAATCTGTGTGTCATTTAATAATAAATTATAAAATAATAATACTGCCAGTTTATAACCATTTAAGTAGAAAAAATATCCACCTCAAGGTGGGAAATTAAGACATAAGGTTTTAATGACGTGTGTTTATCGGGGTTATTTTATTTTTAAATAATTGAACTGTTGATATTTTAGGATTTGCGCAGAAATATGGCCTTAACGGATATACAGACTGTGGGAGAAGATAACGACCCTAAGAAGGGTCTGAACCCCAAAAACGTGAGAGTGAATGTATTACACCACAATGATCACATTATCCCACTTTATCTCCCACCACTTGGCTCTCTATTGCACATCTTATTAGTTAAAAGCATGTGCATGTCAAAATATCAATTCTGCTGAAATCTGTCCGTTCTTTTACTTTCTTTTTGACAAGTCAAGTAGTCAATTAGTGTGGCTTCGACCTCAACACTGTCGCTCCGACTAAATTAAGAATTGATTTTCTTTCAGAGGAATTTTTTAATCGATTTAATCGTTCGATCGATAATTTTAATAAAAAGGTGATAGTGTTACGAGCGGGGTAAATAATAAATAAAAGTTATCGGTTAATTACTTTATACAACTGTATTTACTCACTATAATAAACTAGGAATCGCGCGTTAGTCGCTCTAGAAATTAACTCCGATGTTAATTCGCTGTGTCGTAAAACGAAACTGTCCCAAACGGCCAACACGCTCCGCTTTTATAGCGTTTTTGAATTTTACTAGAAAGATCTAGTGATGTGCCGGATATCCGTATCCGTATCCGCGGATATCCAAGGGAGAAGAGAGATCCGTAACCGTATCCGTATCCGTGACTTTTTTGGCGGATCTCTTAATACATATTACATAGATGAAATTCTATATAGGGGATTTTGTATTCACTGTAAAACTCTTAGGTATGTGTTTGTAACACTATAAACAACAACGTTTTTTCTGGCCAACGTCAAAATGAAAAAAAATTGGTCCTCCATTCAAATGACCAATCAAATGTTGTTAGTTTGTATGGAGAAACATTTTTTTTTCTTTCGTTTTCGGTGTTAGTCCAGAAGAAAAGTTGTTGTTTATAATGTTACTAATATGCACTTCAGAGGGTTTCAGTAAATTTAAAATAACCCTGAATAATGGTTATTAGGTAGCTATGAAAAACTATTCAATTCTGTTCAAATTACTTTTTATTTCTTAAAACAAATATTTGGCACCTTTGTATTGCAATCATTTATCGTACTATACTAAATCAACTAGGCAGGTCGTAGGTACTGAAAGATCTTTATAATGAGATCAATCAAACATCTTTGTATTAGCTTATTAAAATAATGAAATATTTAAATATCAACGGCAAAGCGTCAAGTGGCGACAACTATCAAGGTCACGGGCTCCGATTGAGTAAGAAACTTAAGGTCCGTATCCGTATCCGTATCCGCGGATCTTGACACCAAATATCCGTATTCGGATCTGTATCCGCGGATATACTTTGTTAACGATCCGGCACATCACTAGAAAGATCGATAGTCCGTTCCAGGCAACAGGAATATTCCAGAATCAGTCACGCGTGACTTGCAGCGCCATCTAGCGCTGTAAGGATCAGAACCACAATTTTAAAAGATGTATTTCAGTCGATACTAGATGGCACTGTCCTCCACATTCCCTACAATCGAACCATTTAATCCTATGGCGCAACAAATATTAACTATTAATTGTTTATGTACGGGTAGAAACGCGGTTATATAAAAGGCATTTTTGAGTTTTTTGACGCATTGACGTCATTTTAGGTTGAAAATACAATTTTATATACAACCGGCTGAAAAAAATCAATATCTTCGTGATGACCAACCATAAATAAAATTGAATGAATAATGACTTTTGTTCGGTTAAAATCTATATTAAGGAGTGTCTGGGCCACTTGGTTTGATCGCCCTCATTGTACCGTCATCCACCTTTAAAAAAATATAATAAGAAATTTTAGTAGATGAATCTTTAGAATTTAAATTTTAATGTATCTTATCATTGGTACAGAGTAGATTTTTGTTTAGAAGTCGCCTGGCAGTGGAATTTTAACCATTTTGAATGTATTATTTTACAGTATTGATAGTATAACTGTCACTGTCAAATTTGGCACCGTAACAAATCAAAATATACAATACAGGACCTCATAGTTTAAATTTAAACCACATATTGTTTAAAATATGTTTACCGTTCTGCACTTCTGTATATTAAGTATTACAAGTACAAATATGAGTATATTTATTTTAAAATGGGTATAAAAGTTCTCTTTACGTATTAATATTTTGATATTGCTAAGAAACAAAGAATAAAACTGACGCAAGAGTAAGATTGAAATCAATCTTTGAATCGGATTGTGTATCGTGTCAAACATTGAACTCAATGGATGCAAAACTTTATTGAATTTTTGAATCGTACACAAGCTAATTTTACTTTTATATATGTTTCGATTTTAGTTATTTTTACAGATTTAATAACAATATAATCTCTATCGTATATATCATGGAGAATGCCAAGAGGAATTGTTCGGACTAATACCGGCCTCAACTTTTCGCCATCGTTCCACACGGCACAATTCCTCACCACTTGGATAATAATTGGCACTCGACTGCGCGCTTTTCAAGACACGTTTTGCCTCACACAACTAATCTGTTTCACAAGTTATCATCTGCGGTATTTCCGGACCAATACGACCTTCAAGAAAAGAGCGTATTCCTTCCTCAAAGGCCAGCAAGGCGCTTATGACTCCTGAAAAAAATGACCTATTATTTACACCTGTAATAAGATGATTAATACAAAAATAACATGTATTTTTTGTCACCAGATCATTTACTATGAACACGCGCAGCATCAACATCATTACGATCATGAAGAGGAGGAGCCTCATGGCTGGGGTCCTTGGTCGAGGAGTCTATTCCCTGATGAAGTAAGTGTGTGGAGAGAGTCTCATTAAACTTCTTTATTGCATGTACTCCTGTTACAATTTTCAAGGAAAAACACTAACTGTTGAAGAAACCTTTATTTAGTAGGACTTTTGCAGTTAAAATATCTCTCTTCTCTCTTCCAAGTTATTCATCCCACGTGTTGGTTCCTCGTCTACTCCACTTCGCTCTATCATCTATGTCGTCTTCGGAAACCCGAGTCTTTCATGTCCCTCTATCTAATCTTCTACCGGGGATCGATAACTGTAGAAAGAAATTTTGGAAGGAGGGGATATGTTTGGGAATGTTATTCCTTGTCAGCCAGGAGTTCGGTTGTATTATTTGGGATAAAAGGATTTGTGAATTATTGACCTTCCATCTCCAAAACCAGACCATCTCTTTCTTTCATCTGAACCCCTGGTAGATTAATACCCAAAGCTACTTAAATTATTTCATAAACAAAAAAATCTTATTTTCATTAATTACTATGTACTACTTCTGTTACAGGAAATCGAGGTTGACCCAAGCGAACCCTCCCCCTATCACGCTCAAGAGAAACAACCCCTTATATACAACCGCCCCTATGTAAAACGATCGTAGAATACCGCTGACTCTTTCGATCGCTTACCATAATATAGAAACGGTGCTAGATTTTAATTAGTTATTTATAATTAGTTAGTTTAAATAATATTAACGAAAAGTTATAAAGAAAGCGTTAGTTTTAAATTCCCGAGGTTTCGAACAAATTGTAGGGCAATACTTAAATAGGAATATATAGGTTAGCTGACTCAGCAGAAAGTACAATGACATTACAGACTTACAGTAGTTTTGTTTAAGTATTAACATAATTATTAACTTAATATAATTAGGACAATTCTAGATCTTTAAGCTATGTTTTGCCATTGTATAACTCCTCTGGTTAGCTGTGAGCCTGGTACATAAAACTTGTTAAAGATGAACAAAACTATATGAAAAAAGTAAATTATTTGACAATAGCAAAGATTGACGTCACAAGATGCTATTTCATACAGAACGTACCGTTTTGACGTTCACTAAAAACTTTTTTGACTTGACAGTCAAAAAATGTACTGAAGTGTGAGAACCATTTAACCTAAGAGTCCTAAAAATGTAATATGTTACATGCATTTTTAATTATAATTTAATTATTACTATATTTATTTGGTCGTAAAGAAGTAAGTGTTGCAGGGTAAAAATAAACAGTGTTGCAAGCGTAAAATACAATTTTGTACCTAAGAATATTAAAAATAACGCATTTTAATTAAGTTATGGCCATAGTGTGTGTGTGTGCTATTTATTGTATGTTTGTGGTGTGTATTTATTTATTGCAATTAAATAATTTTATTGTCTAAGTGGTAGTTTTACTTTAGACCTACCAGGAAACTAGTACCGGAAAGGAGGTGTACGGTCATTGAAGGAAAAATAGTACTTCTGAGCTGAGTGAGAGAGCAGAGAGCTATACGTAGGCACATATGAACAGAGTCCACCGGTAAGAGATAAAACAGCTTTAAAGAAAACTGTTGTTAGACAATTCTTTCCTTGATTTTCGATTGCACAGATGACGTAGTGATTTAAGCGCTTACTACAGCTCTGAGTGTTGTTGATTCGATCCCACATGGGACAACACGTTGTGTGATCCACAAATTGTTGTTCTGAGTCTTGGTGGTCTGTGTATCCATTACATGAATTTTTGTAAAGTCAACTGCCGGAGTTGTCTTTTATTTAAAAGAAAAAGAAAAAGGTTTTATCCGGTGCGGTTATCACCACCCTCTCCTCCCTCCCCTAAATTTAAGGGGAGGGCTCTCAAAGCATCTGAGTCTCTTGAGGTGTTAATGGGCGGTTGTCACCACCAGGTGACCCGTCTGTTTGTTTGTGCCTTGTACTATAAAACAATGTAAATTTTTACTATGCTTGGTGTAACTTTAAAAATTTTCTACAATAAAAAGTCAATTTATATAAAAACCAAAAATATATTTTCTCATTAATACATACAGTTAACACAAACATCATTATACAGGCACTAAAACGAAAACCGACTCGACCACCTACAACCCAACAACCTACGACAACCAATATCTTACGCGGGTGTAACCAGGGTAGATTAAAGACAGAGAAAATAGTACATAAATTCTAGTCTTAAATTAATTAAACAGCTTACTGACAACCCTATATTTTACCATACAAACGAATTCGAACTTTATATACCTGTCATTAAAGTTGTATTTCCTTTAAACCATATAAGTTATATAGAGGTCGTTACAATTATTTTCGCCGACCGATCAAACAAAAAGCGACTTATAAACTTATATCTAAACTATGAATTAAATTATTTGTTAATGTTTGCAACTAAGTGTTTGACCAATAGGCGAATACAATACTCTAGGTGACCATATTTAATGACAAATAAATAGGCTTTAGATTGTTAATGGTAGAACTTCTAAGGGGAACCCCCTAGGTCATATACAGGGTCTAAGATCTTTTTTTTTTAACTTGCCCTTATAAACTCAGTACATAAAGCCGATATTAATATTTAATTTTATCTAAAATTATAATTAAAAATTATACATTTGTTAGATTACATATTCAAAACAATAAGAATAAGAAATTGATGTTTATAGACAAATATTTTGTTAAAAATTATTTATTGATTTCGGCCACTTCTATACTGCATTATAATACTTTTGCGTGTTCCTAAACCCGAATTAAATCCCAATTTCAAAATATATAACACTGGGTAGCTTCACACTTGATTAAGGACCCCTGTTGGGCCTAAATTCTCAAAGCAGAACTCAATGTTAAAATAAGCTGTTTATTTATCAAAAAGAAATCTAAATCGGCTCTGGTAGTACTTTAGTCCTGGCTACACCCACGGGCTGGTCTACACGGGAGATTTACCGTGGCGAATACTTTGGATTGTCAGGCGCATACGTAAAGCTCCTTAACTCATACGATACACCATTTTGTCCATCCAACTCCTTTTTGAAGTCGTCATACTCGGAGCAGCCTCCAAAGACGCGGTTCGGACGGCGGTCAGTATTTTTGGAGTCTCGCTCGGAACTGCTCGCTAGAGGGCGGAAGAGGGCGGAGTGTGCAGTCGCCGTGTCGAGGTCTGCCTTCCTCGACACTATGATACGTATGTCTGTGTGGAGGTATAGTTTACCGGATTTTGAGGTCATAAATCTGGAAAGAACAAATAATAATTTATTGTATACAAACTTATTAGAGTCGAAAGTTAAGGGATGACGGCAGAAATGGAATATAAATATTATAAAAATATAGCCCTAATATCACTTCTACCACTCCTTCTGGCTCTGGTCTTATCATAACGTCGACTGGAAGAGTAAAATAAATATCAAAGTACTTTTTTTTATGGAATAAGGGGCGAACGAGCAGACGGGCTACCAGATGGAAAGCGACTACCGCCACCCATGAACGCCTGCAACGCAGGAGTCACAAGCGTGTTGCCAGCCTTTGAGAAAGAAGTACGCTCTTTTCTTGAAGGTTTACTTACTTTCATGTACTAGGGATGAATAAATAATTAAGGAATGTTATTTTTAATTTAAATTTTGCAGTAAATTGCGAGTAATAATTTAGTATAACAGTAAAATAGCGAAACAAAAAACAACAACATGTATATACACTCACCTAAGATGTATAAGGTACCGCAGCCATTTGTGCTGCAATTTAGGCGGTTCAGCGCCAGCCGGCATGTACAGCGTGCGCTGGCGCAGGAAAGTGCGGGCGCTACGCAATACAAACATATTATATAAATAAATAAATAATCTTTTCAAACTAAGCAGAGCTTGTACTATGAAAACTAGAGACTTTTTTTTTGTAAATATACATAGAAAACACCCAAACTCCGAAACAAATATTTGCAGAACATACAAATATTTAGTCCGACCCGGGAATCGAAACCGAGACCTCAACACAGCAGTCGCATAGGCTACCACTGCACCACCGAGAAAGTAATGTAAGGAAAAAGTTATAAAAAGAGCCCTACATGGTCCTTCGAACCCTTTTGATTTCTTTTTCCTTACCTCATATAACACTTGACACAAATGATAGCTGAATTGATAGAACGATCAATGAAGACACTCATGGCTTTTCGAATACATTTAGTGCGAATATTAAAAAAAAAATTGCATACCACATATAAAAAATCTTCTAAAGAAATATTTTTTCGTCTTCCTCACAAAGAATGGGGATGGGACTAATCCCTCCCACACATGCACTACTGTAACTCCTGTACACCAGGATCAACCGTAGTGACCCACGAACACACCGAGTTATGACACTCGGGCAGTTCCAGAAAAAGTTGAACTGTCTTGGAATCCGCAACGAAATTAATCAGAACTAATAGGAGGCGTTGGAAATGTAATATATTCAATCCCTCCTTAGCAAAGCAGGAGAGGGAATAGAATTCAATAAAAATTTCATATCTGAACCAATTTTGTGACTTCAAGACCATCTGAAGTCAAGGTTTTTTATAGATATCGGGTGTACCAGGATTTATAGGTGGTGACATGCCGTATTCTTAATCCGTCACCACACCTATTCATCCTGTGGGTGTCGTAAGAGCCGACTAAGGGAGCAAACTACCAGGACAACAGCACTGCAAAGAGAAGGAAAACTTGACACAAACCCTATACCAACCCGTCTGCCAGCGTGGTATAGTAGGCCAAAACCTCCTTTCTAAGGAGAGGCGTATGTCCAGCAGTGGACTGTTATAGGCTGTTGATGTGTTGATATGGGTGTACCAGGAATACATAAAAGCTTGTATATCTCACCTGGCTGGCATTCTAGTGAGATCGTATAGTACGACGAACATTTTAACCAACGTGCCGTGAGGGTTGAACAGCGAGACCTGGATGGTGCCGGAGCGAGCCACTCGGTAGCCAGACGGTCCGAGGTTTATGTGACCCTGGTAATTAATATAAAAGGTTTTATTTTTTTATGATACAGCAAGCAAACTGAAAACCTGGGCCGAAATTCTGCTAATTTAATATAGTATCAATAGACTGTCGATGAACTGTGGTCAGAATAATTTTGCACTTTTCGTATTCTACTAACTTTATTAGACCAATGGCCTTGGATGACTTGTCACTGATACAAATGTATTTGTAATAGTTTGGTAAACAGTACAATTTAAATTTCTACGGAAATTATATGTTTCATTTTCCAAATATGGCAATGTTGTTAATATCACCATTGATGATCCATTCTCAATACATCGACAGTGTATTGACACTGTGAATTTATGTTAGTAGAATACCGATATTTTGACCGATGTTAATGGCATCTTAATAGTGTGTTAATGGAATAACAGTGGCTTGTACGTTAACTTAAAATAGCAGAATTTGGGCCCTGATGGTAAGCAGAGTAGACCACAAGTCCATTAAATCAGGGGGACGAGGCAGAGTTTGGGCTCTGGTGTGGCTTTCTTGCTTTTTACCGAGTGAGTGAATTTTCACTCACTCGGTGAAAAGCAAGGAAACATATGGCTAACACGGGTTTTCTGTGAAGCCGTGGTATCAATCCGGTCGAGTCGACGCATGTGTCAACCCTAAACTGGAAAATACAAAATTTCATCCCCAATTTCAACCCCTTTAGCTTAAATTTTCGCTACTAAAGAATCTTACAATAAGTTTAAAAATTTAAGCATGAAAATGTAACAGACACACAGACAGAAATAATATTTTCGCATTAATAATAATGCCACTAGTACTAGGATATAATAAACATCAAGGAGGTGTAAAGAACGTACCATGTAAGGCGCATTGGTTCCCCCGGGTGCGTAAAAGAACACGGTGACGGGCAGGCGGCGATGCGGCGGGCAGAAGGCGCCGCAAGCGCCCAGCTCCGCGCTGAACCCGGCCACCGTCGCCACCGGCTCCAGGCGGCCCTTCAGAGCGGACTCCTCGAAACTGCCTGGATATGACATCAACCACTTGTGTTTTATATACCGTTCTTATGTTTGTAATCACAATTGTAGTCATAGTAAGTTATAGACAGTTATCAGCAGCCATCGTCAGTCAACATCAGTCATCATCAGTCATCGTCAGTCATAATCATGTTGCATTTTTAAATAAACTTAGTTAAAAAGAAAATATTACAGTAAGCATGATTAAAAAACAAAATAAGGCAAACGCAAAATGTAAATTTCAGTTTTTAAAAGTTAGGTATCAAACTTTATTATTTTTAACTATTATTTTTATCTACAAATATTGAAAACGCAAGCCGCCATGATATTACGTCAACAGGTTAAAAAACATTGTATTGTTTTTTCTAAATTTTCGAATATTTTATTTACCCATATATTTTACAATACAAGTATATAGGTGGTTGGGTGCGTTATCTTTAAACATTACTTTGGACAACTGTTAATTGTTTTGTAAAAACAGAAATTACAAACCGTTTTTTTTTTCCAACAAAATTACAAAAGGTCACAACACCAATGTAGGATGTATAGTTTTATAACATCACCAAAATAAGGATAACTCCTTTTAATAATACAATCTATCTTATAATTCTTCTGTGCGTGTGTATGTCACTAAACTCCTAAACGGCTGGATCAATTTTGATGAAATTATTTGTGTGTTTAAGTGGATTCGAGAATGATTTCGATTACAAAGAAAAAGAAAACAATTGAAATTTTCGGATTTAAGACGTGTGTACAGGACAACGCCTCTCGGGACAGCTAGTATATATATGTATGTATAAAAATGTTAAGTTGGTTTGTGTACGCCTGAACAACTCAAAAAGTGCACCGTTCGAGCTCAAACCTTGACACGAAATACAAAACGCTACAGAGATCATTTTTATCTATTTTATTATTTTATAGTTTTTTAACCACAATATACGACAGCAAAGCTTTGAAGAATACAGGTAGTTTTACTATCCATATGAGGTCATGACAATCTAAAATGGAGTCTAGCATTTTCATAAATTCACATTTAAAACTGAAGGGCATTTTAGAACGTACCTAGGAGACCAGTACTAGGTCCCATCCTCAGTTTGGGCGTGGTAGATTGTTTAGGCGGTGGCGTCGTCACCACGGGCGGTGGGGACGCCGGGGACGGTGGTGCTGGCGATACTGGGGAGATCGGGTGAAACAGTGCACTGGAATAGACAAATTTCTTATTATTATTTTTTAATAAAATAAAATTGGTATAGTTTATATACTCCTTATAACGTGATGCAATATTCCATGATGATCCGTTAAGGGGCTATAACGTAACAAACAAAAATAATATTCACATTTTTCTATATAACCAAGACATTTTAATTATAAATCACATCATATTAACAGCCTTTAATAGTCCACTGCTAGACATAGGCCTCTCCGTAGTAAAGACGTTTTGGCCTACTATACCACGCTGGCCAGACGGGTTGGTACAGGGTTTGTTTGTTGCCTTCTCTTTGCAGTGCTGTTGTGCTGCATAGTTTGCTCCCTCAGTCGGCTCTTACGACACCCACGGGATGAATAAGAGTGGTGAACCGTCACCACAACGAACATGTCTATGTGATTATTTGTAAACATATACGTTTACAATTAATCCATCACCATATGGTAGAGTGACGATTTGCGCAAAATGGCTGGCAGGAGCTTGATGCGAGAAGCCCAAAATCGATCTAAATGGGATAGGCCTATGTCCAGCAGTGGACTGCGATAGACTGATGATGATGATGATGATATATGTTTATAAATACATTCATGTATCTCAGAAACTGCTTAACGACAGAAATAAAATTTTGCATATGGATTAAGTTTTGCTTACTTTAAAGTTTTTCTTTACAGATATATCTCCTAAGAAAAACATAATTTTGCACAATACTTGGTCACCTACTTACCATACTAGTTATATTATATTTTATACATAGTTAGGATCTCTATTGCATAAACTTGAGGATTTTTTATGTATGCGCTAATATCTGGAACTGCCAGTCAATTTTCGAGCAATTCTTCGGTGCAATTCAATTAGTCATCAACATCATCATCATCAACAGCCTATACTAGTCCACTGCTGGACATAGGCCTCTCCTTAGAAAGGAGGTTTTGGCCTACTATACCACGCTGGCCAGACGGGTTGGTATAGGGTTTGTTTCAAGTTTTCCTTCTCTTTGCAGTGCTGTTGTCCTGCTTAGTTTGCTCCCTTAGTCGGCTCTTACGACACCCACGGGATGAATTGGGGTAGTGACAATTTGTATTCTTAATCCGTCACCACACGGACTTCAATTCAATTAGTGGCAAGGAAGATTATAGAATATTTAATATCAAGCTATGAAGCGGAGCAGTAGCCATTGAAACTGCAGAGAAAATTTTCCATACAATCCTACGACTAGTGAATCATCATGAAACTGACCTCTTAATCCCAGAAATGCCATTTATGGAGTCATCAAAATCAAAGCAATTGTTCCCCCTCCTCAGTGGTGCCGGGCTAGAGGTCAGAGGGAGACCAGTCTTGGTGTGGAACACCATGGAAGCAGCCGAGTCGAATCGCCAACGAAACTTATCCATTTCAGTTGGAGAAGGCACCTGGAATTAACAATAATAACAAGATTTATAATATGTAGCAAATTTGATAAAAAATTATTGTCTTCTAACTTTTTTAGGGTTTCTTTAGAGTTGGCAACGGCGGCGAGCTTGGGTGCGATCCAATAGGCCAAGATCGCCTCGGGCAGATCCAAACCTGGTACGCCCTTCGTCCGGAGGGCGTGCACGCCGAATGGTCATGGAGGCGAGCGCAACAGTCGTGTAGATCCACGTAATCCTGGAATGCGAGGGAGTGGCCACACAAGGGGCAAGTATCATTCCTGATACCAAATCACTCCTAGAAGCCTGTGAACGCTGCAGGAGGCTTCTGCGCTTCTGGAAGAACTTGGTTGGCTCACCTAGCTAACCTGTCCTCGACGCATAAAGGACAATCTTTGAGTCTAGATGAGGAAACCGGAGCCCACAACCAATACCAATAGAGTTGACAACGCGCATGTGATATTCCGTTTTAGGTGTTTTACCATATAACATGGTAAGCATTTATCACCAATCGGACCGTGTATTAAACACTAAGATGATAAAAAATAAAAGAGGTACTAACTTATCGGCGATAGTAAAACCTTTTGCTTATTACTGAACTCCTGGTACCTATCCCGGCTCAGAAGCAGATAGAATTTTTATCAGATTCATATAGAAGTGTCTGTTTGTAATGTCAAAATTAATAATTATTTGCACGATACCTATGCCTAAAAGCCAGTTTTAATATTTTTTTGTCTGTTTGTTCAGGGTAATCTTCAAAAGGGCTGGACCGATTTTGATAATATTTTACTACCAGGTAGCTTTCTGAATAAGAAGTAGCTTAGGCTATTTTTCCTTTTAGAAAATCCCTATAAAATTTTACCCGGTTCGAGAATCGAATCCAAACTGGGCAAAATTACACGCGAACGAAGTTGTGGGCACCAGCTAGTAATATAATAATATAAATAATTACCTGATTATCCACCCCTTTCTTTAGATCAGGAAACTTAAAGCCGCTAGCATCTTTCTCTTCCTTAGGAGAATCAACGGAGTCAGCAGTAGTTTCAGAACACTTTTCAAAAGTGCCATAGTCACACTTCTCATACAACACATAGTCATCATCTCCTACAGAGAAAGTCTTTTGTCTCTTCTCTTTTGGTCTCGAAAAGACCGTGTCCTCCTTCTCCAACTGCAACTCTTCTATATCCTTCTCCCTCTGAGCGAACCTATCACTTACAATCTTCTCAATTCTATCCACTATAGGAAAAAACCTACGTAACTTAGGTCTTTTAATAATGTCATTATTACTAATACTACTATTATTATTATCACAAAAGTTATCACATTTATGCTTCTTCAACTTTTTATCATCTTCTTCACACTTCCTTCTTGCCCCGTTCTCATTCAATGATGCCAAGTTGTAGTTGCCATTAGACCTTACCATACCTCCCCGATCACACGTGTCACACTTCAAATTAATCTGAGTACCACATTGGCAATAAATATCTTCAGTTTGGGTCGATACTGTGTTGTTCTTTTTAAATTCGGTCGGTGGAAGACTGTCTGTGTCAACAAAAGGAGACTTGGTCTCTATCCGGCTAGCGGGTAGAGTCAAATATGTTTGGTTCCTATAGCAACCTATAGCTCTAAATCTATCAAATCTTGATGCTTGCAAAATCGGTATCGATGTGTGAGGTTCTTTCATCTTCTGCAGTCCGTCGCCTTCAGATGAAGTACTGTCATGTAACTTCTTAATTTTGCACTCTTTCCTCAGTCTCCTTTTGTATTTAGCTATCTCTTTCACGCGTCTGTCGTCCAGTTTTTTTGGTCTCTCCTTCCCATCTGACTCTTCGTCGCAATTGCATTTGTGTTTACCGCTTTCGCTGCAAGGAGTCAGCATTCTGTCATCGATCTGGGCGCCATCGTACTTATTACCTATACTGAGATCATTTAATTTCCCTACTAATTCTTCGTGTAAATTGGGGGGTACATCTTTGCTAGTTCTTCTTTTTGGACACGTGCATTTCATATTGGGTATATCGTCTAGTCTCGGTAGACTTTGTAGTATCACGTTCAAGTAAAAATTACCAAAGTCTGTGACTGGGAATTTATGATCGGTAGGCGGTATTATAAAGTCTGCCTTCTTGTAGTTGTCCTCAGATATCTTTATGGAGTAAACGACGTTCAGTTTGCGCTGGTTCCCTGGTACTTCGGCGTCACAGTTTGCTTCTAACTTTTTGATGTTGCACGTTTCGCGACTTAGCTTCCGTCTGTGGAGAATAAAACATTTACAGTTGCTTTTTACAACTTACTTAGTTCTATTTGTAACCACTGACGCAAAAACGACGGGGTGTTAGAGGATGGACGTGTCTGTGTGTCTGTCTGTCTGTGGCATCGTAGCTCCCGAAAACTCGAATTAGTCGGAAGTGTTCTTAGCTATGTTTGATGAAAATCGGTACAAGATGGCCGACGCCACAAAATGGCGGATTAAATTCTTTTTCACAACTTCCTCAATATGGGCATCAAATGAAAGGGCTTGACTAGTAGAATACTATACACTATGACAAATTTCAAATACAAGATGTGAGTCGGGGTTTTTGTTTAATTTAAGTTTATTATTGAATAATTCGTTCGATCTCAGAAAGTTATGGTTAAACCTCTACCAGCTTTTAAAATTACGTTTGTTTTAAGCAAAGGTAATACTACAGATTTATACAAAAAGAAAATCTTTTAATAGTTGCATGTTATCACAAATAAAATCTCTGTCGTTCCTTCCTAATGCTAAAATTACTTCAAACAAATTACTTCCTACAATGACTGCAGGCCTAGTACTCAAATTAGTTTATTCAATGTTTAAGTTCAGTAGACCAAAAACATAAATTAACCCTTCATACATCCCTTAAGCGTAAGAGTTAAATCTATGATAACCTAAAGTAAAACCCTTACCTGCGCTCAGTAGGACTCTCCTCCGTCTCCTTCAGCCTCGCGAGCCATGCAGACAACTGGGAGAAGTGCAGCTGTGATCTGACTGCGTTCAAAAGCCACTGTGATGTACTGAATGATGGGCTATTTTCTCCTCTGAAATTACAGAAGTGACCAAAAAATAATTCACACACACTCAATATATGGTATATATAATATGGTATAGTAGGCCAAAACCTCCTTTCTAAGGAGAGAAATTTCTATACAGATTGTAACAGATTGTGTATTCCAGTATTCCTTACTCTACCTATCTCGCCTTATTTGTGTTCTTTCCCCAAGGAGGGATGGAGTTCCCAGGCGACCGACCAGAAGAGAAATCAATCGTTTGTCTTATATTCAATAGGTTGTACTTACTTCTTCATCTGCGCTCTCATAGTCCAACGTTCAAGCAGCAACCCGCGCGAATTCTTGTCAAATCCATCCTCTCGACACAGCGATGTGTAGCAGTCCGTGCAGTTTGGAGCCAGTAGAACCTGAAACAGAAGATATCGATAATATAACGTGAAGTTTTATACCAGAAACATGAGTCAACGCCATCTAGGAAAAGACAAGCCTAAATGCCTCATAATTTTCTTGTACCTCTATTTTAATGAGCTATTGCAGGCGCAATTCCATTTACCATCCGAGATATGAAGGATCCTATCTCTGGTGTTCATCCTATCCGTTTTCCTGACCAGAATTTACCTCTTTCCTTTATCTACCTTCTTAAAAAGGGTTCCCAATGGTGTCTTTCAGCTACCGGCTCTAAAAGAAACCACCCAAATTCCTTTGTGATACTGCATTTTGCGGTGACTTCAAATAAAACTAGAAAGATTGCGGCAAATTTTGATCAAAAAGAATTTGATTTGACTGCGATCTTCCATAAAAACATATAAAAAGGTAATTCTTTTGGTATGGTTCATTGAGCAAACGAGTTGCCGCCCCAAGCCGAAAAGAGGGCGGGTCTTTTTTTTAAGTTAGAGGGGCAGACGAGCAGACGGGTCACCTGATGGAAAGTGACTATCGCCGCCCATGAACGTTCTGCAACTCAATAGTCACAAACGCGTTGCCGGCCTTGAGCTCTGGTAACCTTACTGAGTCGGTGAGATACGAAACACTATTGCTTAACACCGGTTTTCTGTGACGCCGTGGTATCATTGAGCCCATTTATGCCGAAGCATGACTCTACTACGGTTACCATTAATTTCCGGCTATGTTACTTCAGAAAGAAGAGACACATTTCTGATGAAAATTGCAAAAAGAATGTTATTAATTACTAGGATAACATACTTCAATGCAGACAGGAATTTGTTCGTTCCACAACGCTTGCACATGGTTGCTGAGCTGAGTTTCCACGCCTGTTTTCGGTTCCTCGGGCTCCGGCTTCGGTTGGCTCTGGACTCTGGACTCTGGGGTCTGCAATTGATTTAAAAACATTGGATATGATAAAATATACAAGGAAAAAAAATGCTTTTTTACTTTGAAGGTTTAAAAGTAATTGACGGGTGTTTACTGGTTACAGGTCCAGGGCTAGTAGCAACCCCGCAATGTTTTGTGGTGACGGATTAAGAATACGAATTGTCCCTAAACCCCATTCATCCCGTGGGTGTGATAAGAGCCGGCTAAGGGAGCAAACTACGCAGGATATCAGCACTGCAAAGAGAAGGAAAAATTGACAAAAACTCTATACCAACCCGTCTGGCCAACGTGGTATAGTAGGCCAAAACCTTCTTTCTAAGGAGAGGCCTATGTCCGGCAGTGGACTGTTTAAGGCTGATGGTGATGATGATGAATGTTTTCGAAAAAACCTATCCAACAATACCTGCAGTATAAAATAGATGAGAAAAAACAACCCCCCTTTAAGTGTAAGGGAGGTACACTATTTTTTTTTCTCCGATGTAGGTCGAGAGGGCCCATTTCTGCCGAAGCCAGATATGCCAATGCTACTGGGCTCTCCCATAGTAAAATTAATAGTAATTAGTATACTTCAATATCTGGAATCTACTAAAGTTATACCTTGCTCAACCCACACTTGTAAAGTGTATCGATTTGGCCGCATGCCAACCTATATTAAAACGTTTTCAAATGTACCAGGCTAACATACCTGTGAACTAGTAGAAGGATTGGCGGGTAACAGTTTAGAATGTAAAAGCCGATCGTGGGTTGGTCTACTCGCGGGGCTGGAGCTTCGAGATCTGATGATTAGACGTCCTAGCTGCAAGAGCAGGCTCGCGCCGGAAGCCGTTGGCGCTGGCACTGGCTCGCAACTGTGCATCTGGTGACAAAAGAAAATACAGTTGTAGTAAAAAAAAAAAAATAGTTTTCGACATGTACAATACACGCTATGGTACATGATCAACGAAGTGTGACACTGTATGACAAAGGGCGCGAGGGTCCTAAGTTTCGTGACGTCACAATTCCAAATCTAATATATCTAATTGTAAGTATTAGAACGCGACATTTTATTTATTAAGAGTAATACAAACCAAGGTTCTTTGTTTTGTTAATTTTTAAAAATGTTTGGTTAGATGTTGATTTTTGTAAATATTTAATTTAATGTTGAAATTATTAAAAAAACATTTAAATGGAATTAAAACTGATTTTGGAGCTGCCGTTTTAATTTAATAATTTCGTGACGTCACACTAGGGAGGGGGCGCTCGCAAATGTGACCTGTGACAAGGAGGGTGGGGCTTATAAAAAACATGAAACTCATGTGACGTAATTTATGGCCCTACTGCCTTTACCTAGCACCCAATAACAATTTACCTTCCTCCTTTGTCACGTCTAAAAGCGATTATATTCCCAAGGAGAGTTTATAAAGTAACTAGTAGTAGGAACTATTTTGTATTCAAATTAAGCGTTTGAATTTCCACAAGTGTTTGAGAATCTCTTCAGTATATCTGTGCGCCTAGTACCTGTCACATGTTATACAATGGCCAGTTTTACCTGATTACGCCTTGGTTTAGGTTTTTCGACTGCATATACTGTGTGACTGTAATTTCTTTGGCATGCTCTTGTAGCCTAGAGGCGTGATTTAGGCGGTGATTTAGACGTTTCAGATTCGACTTAATTGTGAGTGTGACACTGGGGAATTAAAAATTAAAATCGCCGGTTTGTAAACTTAAAGTACCTATACATTTACACCAGTTAGGTTTTTTGTTGTTTTTTCATTAAGCGACTTTAAAATCAGATTAAGCGTTTGAATTTCCACAAGTGTTTAAGAATCTCTTTAGCATATCTGTGTTGCTAGTAATAATTATAGACTGCACAATCATCAATATCGGTATACATGAAAACAGCCTTTACTAGTCCACTGCTGGACATAGGCCTCTCCCTAGAAAGGAGGTTTTGGCCTACTATACCACGCTGGCCAGACGGGTTGTAATAGGGTTTATTTCAAATTTCCTTCTCTTTGCAGTGCTGTTGTCCGGCGTTGTTTCCTCCCGTACTCTTACAACACCCACGGGATGAATAGGGGTGGTGACACTCTGTATTCTTAATCCATCACCACACGGATGGTGCTCCACCGCGCTCAAACAAAGGAAAAATTCTCAAACAAATTCCTTTTTATACAAACATGATGTAATCATCATTAATATTATGCGGGATTCATTCTCTTGCTATTAAATACCTTCATAAATGAAATTACTATCATTTAGTAATTTCATTATAAGGGATATAATTTTAGTGACAAGGGAAACAGAAAAGCACCAGAGATACTATGTAACACTTATGATGGTATAAAAAATGAATGTTGGAATTGCAGAAATTACAGCACATTTTTTTAAATCTTTCACTTTAAACCCCCCCCCCCCCCCCCCCCTCCCTCCCGATTTCACAGCGTCACAATAAAAGACAGTAAGTAGGCCGGGTCGGGTCGAAATCAGGGCGGGGGTGCATTTCACATTTCGGGTCAAGGGTGGGGCACGCCTAACGGGCCAATGAAACGGCACCTTTTGTTGTTGAACGAAATTGTTTTGCTGACTTTGGCCGTAGAAAACGCAAAATCAACCTTAAATGTGCTAACTTGTAACTAATTTTAACAATACAAAGTATGTTGTTCTCGTATCATTAAATAAATAGATAGATAGATAAATACTTTATTTATAAACCAGGATTTTATAGACATTATAAAGTAATTAAGAACAGATGTAAAGTACAAAGGGCAGCCTTATCGCTTAGTGCAATTTCTTCCAGGCAACCTTTGAATGGACTGGATTAATTTTGAACTGGTGATAGGTAAACAGAAATTAGAGAAATAAATAAGGTTTTAACCGTTAATATATACATACACTAATTTCTAACTATTAGAGACAGATAATGCTCATATAGCATAGTCTTGAAGGTGGTTATAGGTTGAATCTTTAAACAAAAAAAAAATCATTCATTTATATTTGTTTATATAATTAGTATTTTATTGATATTTTTTTAACAACAGAGAGTCGCATGATTTCACATTTCTAACTTTAACTTCCATACTCTTATTTTACCCCCAAAATTTCCTTCTTAGTGGATGCTTACAACATAAAAAGCATCCCCTGCCAAAATTTCCCTAATTTTATATTTATATCATCATCTGCTCACGGCCCGACATAGGCCTCTCCCATTGCACACCATTTAGATCGATTTTGGGCTTCTCGAATCCAGCTCCTGCCAGCCATCTTGCGCAAATCGTCACTCCACCTGTCCTGAAGACTATAAAAGATTGAAAAGTAAACTCATATCTAGGTACCAGAGCAACATAAATTGATGATGATGAAATGTCTAACTTAATAATGTAAGTTCTGGTGCAATACATTGCGATAATAATATTCTTACTCACGTACAAAACATTATTTCAAAATGGCGTGCATTAGGTGTTTTATCACAATATGTATATATGGTAATTCGTTTTTACTCAAAAATGTAGTTACAACTAAAACCGTGAATTTTTCAGAGGTACCTACCGTTCCTTTATCAGCATAGAGCATGACGTCACGAATACAGCACAGCTTGGTGTAATGTTCGAATTTTTTTTTTTAAAAGATACAACTTGTATTATCTGCAAATATTTGTTTCGGAGTTTGTGTGTTTTCTACGTGTTATATGCATTGATATACAAAAAAAACCCGGGTTGATATACAAAAAAAAAGGGTTTTTTGTATATCAATGGTTATATGTACTCTGTCAGTTCACCGAGCTTTCATAGTACAAGCTCTGCTTAGTTTGAAACTAGATGGCGTTGTGTGTTTTCGCTCCTTATTTAAAAAAATGACACTTAATGCGCAAAACAAATATATCACAAAAAAATAAAAGAGTACAAAGAAAACTGTATATTATTGACGCGACAGGACGTTTCGCTCTTTGAAAAGGGGCCCCTGACGGAAAACAAAGAAGTCAACTTTGTTATGCTGGTTGTCACTGTAAACACGTTCGGTTTGCACACAACCGAACGTGTTTACAGTGACAACCCAGCTGAAAAACAGCAATACCTGAAAAGAACTTAGTGGCCAACTGTTGGACACTATTTTTTCTATCTTTACCTTACATGTACCTTAGATTTAAGGTATGTGGAAGTTATCTACGTATCTCATGACTTAATTACCTACTGACCGTAAACTTTTATCAGAAGGAACGCTCGTAAACATTAATCTGGTCATTGAATTATACTACTGATAAGGAGTTATATAAAAATAAGGCACTGGTACAAAATACATACATGCTTACAACCAGTGATTGGAAAAGTGTTATCGCTTAACTCTCTCTGAGGTCCTGGTAGATATAGATAGATTTTGTTCTAGCAAAGAGCAGAAAAAATGAAGTGGCCAGGTGGAGTGAAGATTTGCGCAAGATGGCTGGCAGGAGCTGGCAAATCGCCCAAAATCGACCTAAGTAGCGTGCAATTGGAGAGGCCTATGTCCAGCAGTGGACTGCGATAGGCTGATGAAGATGATGATGATGAAAGAGCAGAAAAAATGAAGTTTTTTCACAGCTACTTTCGTCAATAATTAGGCTTTATTAATTACAAAATAGCATTTTTTTTAATCCGGTTTGTATTAAGAAGTAGATAGGGTGGAGGAGATCTCAGAATGATCTCTGACTTCAATGACTCTAGTGTGTTGGCGACCCGTGGGAGTTTCCGCAGGAAAAAAGCATTCTGGGTTTTTTTATTGTGCCATGTTGTGGTTAAGGTTTGTAAGCTCCATTTCACCAGGATTACATAAGTTCAAATACAATAAAAATTAATTAACTAATAACAAGTTTCATATACATTTGGTAAATTATCATTTGCGAAATCGGCAATTGTGTACTAGGAACTCATAAGCGTAAATATCATTTTATTTTTGTTGAATTTTACTGTTTAATATTACTACACTGTGCACTGAATGTACACTTTACTTAATATACCTTTATGTAATTAACTGAAAATATATCTATTGTAAGATATTAGAGCGGAGAAGGAAAAATTGAAACAAACTCTATACGAAACGAAATTTCTTTCTAAGGGGAGGCCTATGTCCAGCAGTGGACTTTTAAAGGCTATTGATGTGATGATTAGAGCGCTTGTTTCGCAATAGTTGTCCGGTGTCATCTTGCAATTACGATTGGACACTCAAAATCAGTACTCAGGTGGCAGTTATCCATCGCAGTATATACTGAGGGTCCATTTATTTCCCAATACACTTCGTTCAACCGTCAGGAACATAAAAGGTTTTTTGTTGTACATGGGTAACATTTCACATGGATACGAGGCACATTGACGTGTCATGTCAATTCTGTCAGTGTTGTAATAGAATGACACATTGAAAAATTTTACCTTTTCTGTGTGTTTTCTATACAAAAATAAAATTGAAGTCTCTGTTTGTAATGTCAAAATAATGGGTTTTTTCATGCTCACACTGTTATTTGCAGGATACCTATGCCTAAAAACTAGTTTAAATATTTTTTGCCTGTCTGTCTGTTTGTTCCGAGTAATCTTAAAAACTGCTGGACCGATTTGGATAATATTTTACTACCAGACAGACAGCTGTCTGTATAAGGGGTATCTTAAGCTATTTTTTATCTCAAAAACCCCTTCCGGGAATCGAACCCACTAAGGCAGCGTTACTCAAATTCCACGCTAATTTAAATAAAGTAAAAAGAAATTCTGTACTAGGTTGCAGAAGTGGAGTGCACTAAATAATATTACCTTCTATATACTAGGAGCTCATAAGATGGCAAGAGGTTATTGATCGCAGCATTCGAGCAAATAGGCGATAATGGAAAGAGACCAGATGCAGATGGGCGAGGCCTTTGTTGTACCTACTTTATATAACTGATAAAATGATTTTGTGTAAAACAAGTTTAAATTGGCTTAACTTTTGAAGAGACTATCATAATTCAATGCATAAGTACCTATTAAGTACCTAGTTTAGTGTCTGTACTATTGACCGTTGATGGTTTCTTATCAGGAGCTCTAGGTAAGGTCATCAGAACAGTATATCATAAAAGAATATGTTATCCTAGTACCCTAGAGAAGGTATATCCAATACAAAATAAGTTTTAAAACAATTTGAAACCTGAAAATATTACGTTCTTGTTTTGTATTTTGCACATTGATTATCTTAATATTAAAGTAGATTTTTTTTATGCCCTGATAAGATTAAATATTAATCAAGATAAATCGAAAACAAATATAATATGTAAAACTGCAGTTACTATGTAATTTAAAGTTTTGTAATAAACAAGCAACCTCAACTTTCACATTACCAGGAGTGTATAAATCGATGCACGTTGAAATTCCATCTAAAACTGGATGCATCTATTTCCGTATATTTAATCTAAGAAGTGGGATATATATTAACACTCGTTTAACTGAAGTAAAAACCGAAGTTAACACCCATCCGAGAATTTGGACGAATGCCAAAAACGTGTAGTGGTCAGGTTATTTTTATTTTTGTTTATAAATATACACTTATACACACAAAATGACGGAAGTTACCTCACTAGATAAGTGATATATTATACAAAATATATTTACTTCGTTATATATTACTTTGTTTATTACAGATATCTTATTATAGGATTTTTCTTTATTATTCTGTGCGTGTAATAATAAACGGCTGGAGCGATTTTGATTTTGTGATTGAAATTTATTGTGTGTGTTCAAATGGATTAGATTCACAATTCGATAATATTCACGAGAAAAAAATGTAAGTGGTAAGAAATTGGTCGGTTCAGCTGGGTAGTTTTTTTTTATGTTAGAGGGGGCAGACGAGCAGACGGGTCACCTGATGGAAAGTGAATATCGCCACCCATGAACGTCTGCAACTCAGGATGTCACAAACGCGTTGCCGACCTTTTAGGATGGAGTACTCTCTTTTCTTGAAGGTTTGAATGTTGTATCGGTCCGGAAATACCGCAGACGATAACCCGTTCCACAGAATTTCCAAAAAAACGTAATTTATAAATGAAAGTACTAAGGCAACATGTTAGTATATGTAGTGTTTCGTGTTTCAAATCGACACAAATGAAATGCTTACAACAGTTCAATACAAATAATAAGCTTTTCTTCAAACAAAAATGTATTTCCGAATATTACAAAAATACAATAAGTAACTAAAACTGACAGCCTAACAAAATTATCCCGTTATCGCTTGTGATAAGATAAGACAAGGTCGGCCACGTTGATAATTTCATTATACATTTACGTTATGATTTCCTAGTGCTAAGTTAAAAGTGAGGTCGCTGAAATACGAAGGGAAAATCGAACGGAAGGGGAGGGGTCCTCGACGACGGGAAGGGGGGTTAGAAATCTCATAGATATTATGAGTATATTGTTAAAAGAAGAGAAAATAGAAGTATCACAGCATCATGCCAAACACTCTCCTACTGTTTTTAATTGATCTCCTAAGAATAAAATGCAAATTTAAGAAAGTCCCAAACGTCTCTTAAAGTCTGTGTACAAAGATTAACTGAGAGAATAAACACGATCGTTGTCTTTTTATACCTTTTTCTTCTGGCTTTCATCACCTCAACAGCCTGTAACAGTCCACTGCTGGACATAAGCCTCTCCTTAGAAAGGAGGTTTTGGCCTACTATACCAAGCTGGCCGGACGGGTTGGTATAGGGTTTGTGTCAAGTTTTCCTTCTCTCTGCATTGCTGTTGTTCTGTGTAGTTTTTTCCCTTAGTCGGCTCTTACGACACCCATGGGATGAATAGGGGTGGTGACACTCTGTATTTTTAATCCGTCACCACACTTACCACGGACTTCTGGTGTTATTCAGTCTCTATTTCTTCTCCACAGATATCTGTCTAGGCTGTCATTTCAGCTGTCCACGTAACTCAAGGTCTTTCGGGCTGATTTGCTTCATTACTTTCCTAGCCATGTGATGGTTTTCTCTTTCTATCTCTTTATAATAGTTCCTAAATAATCAATACCCCGATATTCAAGCGTTTTCCAATCAGCTGATAGCAAGCCATGTTGTAAATATAAACTACTTCTTATCTCAAAGCGTCAGATACAACCAGGACAGCATGAGTTTTCTGTGATAATATAAATAACTAGTGAGGTTTGAACGTTGACTAAACCCAAAATAAGCCTTACGTCGGTTGCATGACAACGAACATTTATTACATTTTACCTTCACTCAATACCCTGGAAGGAGTACACAGAGACGTCTTTTTTTACATTCGCTTACCATAATGACTGCACGGATAGCGTAGTTTAAGCGTTCGCCACGCCGCTTACTACTACGCTGAGTGTTGTGGGTCCGATCCCCATATAGGACGACACTTTGTGTCATCCACAAATTGTTTTTCTGAGTCTGGGTGTTCTTTGTGCCCGTTTCATTTATGTTTGTAAAGTCCCCCGGCGACACAGGATTTATTCCTAGTGCGGGACTTGGATAATTCGGTCTCACTTGCTTAATGGGAGACAAGAGTATTACCATCAAATAGGTAAATAAAAAAATTGTAAGTGCTTAAGAAGAGACATTGCTTTTAATATAA